ATATGTGATATAAGAAAGTCCATCGATAATTCGATCAAAGCTGGACAAGACATCTATTACTGTTCTAAAATTTTGATTATTCCATCTTCTACTTTTACCATGGTTGAACTTAAAAAGAAAAGAAATGGTTAACCAAATATCAATTAGTTAGATATTATTTGCTGTCTACCTTTCATTTATTTTTAGCTTTATATGCATGCACTGTTCGGCTTTAACTTTGGGCCTTGTTTGGGCTCAGTCATTACATTTTCAACCATTTATATTTAATTGTTATCTCTTTTTTGTTTTTTTTAATTTTCTCGGTACTTAAAAGACAATTACCAGTTATCACTAAACTAATTGGCTCCTTAATCTTATTTAGATTAGTTGTATAGTCAATAAAAAAATATAGAATACATAGATAATATGTTTTAAAATGGGGAGATTTTATGAATGTTTGCCTCAGTAAATTATTGGATTTTTTAATATTATTATTCTTTTAATTTATTTTAAAAATATTCTCAAATACAGACTTATTTCAAAGAAAATGCTTCATAATTAAATTCCTCTGCCTCTAAGCTGTCTCTTCGAGAGATCACCTAGTCCACTCCAACATAAATAACCTACATACGTGACACTGTATCCACATGAAATCACATTACTTCAAAAAAAATTTAAAAAAATAACGGTAAATTGTCTCTTAAGGAGACGACGTATACCAACTTTTAATAATTACTATTAAAATACACATGCGTTGCACGTATAATTGTGTAGTTTTAATTTATAGTAAATATTGCACATACATATGTCCGTGTTGTTAATTTTGAGAGTACTGATTTGAAAAATTGTACGAATAATTCAAATCTATAGTTATAATTGTGTACTTATAGTTTTAAGTACTGATTTGCACAATTCAGTTTTAATTTATGGTATCGATTTTTAAGATCTAACTTAATTTTCTTCCATATCTAAGAAGTCAAATCTAAAAAAAAAAAATAATAATAATAATATGTTAAAATTAAGTTAAAATTAGTGACTCACATTAATACAATATGCGGTAATCAAGGAATACATATTTTTGTTAATTTTCATATCACACATATTCAGTGTTGTTCATATCAAAAAATCAAAATCCAAAGTATTAAGAAAATTTATAAAACAAAATTGTGTCCTCATCCCAATCATTTCAAAATATATATATATATATATATATATATATATATATATATATATATATAAAAGTGAAACCTCATTCATTATATTAATAAGTAGATAGTAAAAAATAATATTTCAATATAAAGGAAAAAGTATTTATTATTTTAAGTTTATTTATTTTTAATTAAAATAAGTATATAAAATGGATCAAAAAAGATTGTAACCATTTTAAAATATTTACCATCAAGAGAATTTATTTATTGCTTTAAATAGTATCTTAGGATGACTAATTGATTATTTGTCAAAAATAAATGTTTAAACCTATAATTAATATTGTTACCCTATCTAATAGGCTAAATTTTCAAAACATTAATGGCTAATATTATTAAAATATGGGGTAAATTAGATTAAAATGAGTGATTCACATTAATAAAATATGCGGTAATTAATGAATACATATTTTTCGTTAATTTCCATATCACACATTTTACCTTTGTGTCTATAAAAATCAAATCCAAATTAAAGTACTTAAAAAACTTGTGTCGCCATCCCAAATTCTCATTTTTCGGGTTATATTAATTAAGTACAAAGTAAAATAGAAAATTTTAACATAATAGAAAAAATATTTATTATTTTAAGTTTATTTATTTTAAATTAAATTACGTATATAAAAGGACCACAATCAATTGTAATCATTTTTAAATATTTACCTTTAAGGGAACTAATTTATTACTTTAAATAGTTATTCTATGATGACTAATTTATTATTTTTTAAAAAATGAATTTTTAAACCTATAATTAATATTGTTACCATATGTAATAGGTCAAATTTTCAAAACGACTAAAGTTATTAAAATATGAGATATTTTTCTTGTAAAAAAAATATGGGATATCATTATTAAAATATGGGATAATTTTTTTGAACCTACACTTAATTTTGTTTCCATATCTAAGAAGTTAAATATCTCAAATAATAATAAGAATAGTAATAAATTTAAATTAAATTAAAACTAATGACTCGCATTATTAAAATATGTCATAATTAAGGAATACCTATTTTGTTAATTTCCATAACACACGTATTTTACCTATAAACTCTAACCTACAACATTCCAATTTTTTTATGAGAGGGTGCACCATGTGAATATAAAGAAAGACAATGATTTAGAGTTGTACATGGTATGAGTTATTCACCATTAGGGAGTTCGTTATTTTCCTAGGTCATCACTTCTTAAGTTGTAATATTGTTTCGATCTACCAAATCTCAGGCTAAAATGAGGTAAAGTTTATTTACAGTTTTGTTTTGATCAATCTTTCCATTTTATATCTATTTATGTTTTGGTATTTGCTATTATATTCTTCCTCAATACCTAAATCTACACTGGCTTAATTATTTTCAAACATTTTCTTTTGGGTAAAAAAAAACCAAAAGTTAAATGTAGTTTAGATTTACCTCTAATCAACTTGATCTTGAACTTGTGGCAGATTTGAAATTGGTACTAAAAGGAGATGATCTGTTGAGGAATCAAAACCTCAAAGGAGGTAACGAATGTTTTGAGGAATTTGGGTTACCTTAATATTTGTCTTTGAGTTTATCATGGACAAGAAACGTAAAGACAATCTGGACCTCTGAAGTAGACGTTGATAAAATGTTATTTTCAACCGTTACCAAATAAATATGGCCACACCCATTTTGTTTCTCATCTTCGTTGTGATAGAGAGCTAATTTCCTTCAATAACACAAACAAAAAAAATCATAAAAAACCAACAATTTTGTGACAATCTATTCTTGCTTCTAGCTTGTAAAGGAAAAACAAAATTTGAGATGATGTTGCTAAATTTTCCTTTCTCGTTCTTCCTTAAATATGAGAACTTTACAAACTTTCATAGGAAGTTGAATTAACCATTATTAATTTCTCCATAGCCAATTTCATTTTCAAAATCTGTTGAATTTCTTGAAACAGTTTCAATCATAAAATTGTATTAACTTCTATTAAACCTTTTAATATGGAACAATTCGTGGGCAAAATGTTGGAATATGAAGCAATCCTTAATCTAAGCATTTATTTCCACCTACCATTTATTTCTTTATCATTTAATCTCACCTTAATTTAAAAATTTAATAAGCTATAGGTAAAAGGACCAATTTACCTCCAACTTCATATTCAAAAGTATAAAAAATGAAGGGCAAAAACAGTAAAAAAAGTTTCTCAAGATCCTACCTTTTATATATACTATAGATATAGATATCAAGTTAGTAGAGTCACTGCATATCCATCTTACTAGGATATCTAAGTTAAATCACCAATAACTTTATAATATTCTTTTCTAGCAAAGGATATTTTTTTCTTTTAAAATAAATTGTACTTATTAAAATTTCTCCTCTCCTAAAATAAAGAAATTACTATTGAAAAACTATTAATTTTTTTTTCAAAAAAAACTTTAATAAAATCTTTTTCCCCCATAAAACAACAAAACTACTCTTGAAAAACTATAATTTACTATATATATAGTACTTTAATATTAATTATAGCTTTTATAATTTAAAATTCAAATAAATGGCCATGTTACTTGTTAAACTCTCTCATCTCTCCTAAAATATTTATATTGTAATTTTTTCTTTTAAACAAATTGAAATAAGTATTATTTATTAAAATCTCTCTTCTCATCTTAAATAAAATAATTACTATTAAAAGTGATATTTTTAAAGATATTTATAATTTTTTATATAACTACTATAATGTACTTTAAGAGAGAATTTGTTTTATAGTAATTGTTATATTTTGTAGTATTTATTTTTTTTATTTGAAAAGATCATCATGTTTTAATAGTAGTTATTTTATTTTACAGGAGGAGAAAATTTAACAAGTAAATTTTATTTAAAAGGGAAAAAAATGCAATATAATATTTTACTTGCTAAATGTGAAATGGGGATTGAATCTAGGATCTCAAGATTTGTAGGATGGATATGTAGCCACACCACCAGATTGGTATAATTATTTAGAATAAGTATATATCGTTACTTAAAAGAGACTATATAATAATTTTTTTAAATTAAAAAAAAAGACGTAGTTGCATGAAGAGACGACATACAATACCTTGGACCTACTACTAAAGTGGACTAGATTGTACATCTATAAGAGACAACCTAGCGGCGGGAGGAATTTACGAGGCATTACTTTTTGATTAAGTTTAAATTTGAGAATATTTTTCAAATAAATTTAAAAAATAGTAATTTTAAAAAAATCTGTAAATTATTTATATCCGTTGTATATCATTTATATAAATATATACAAAAAATATTCATTTAAAAAAATCCGTAAATTATATATATATATATATATATATATATATCAATTGTATATATTTAATTGAATAATTTCATGTAGTCAGTAAAAAAGATACACAACGTAGATAAATCTTTTTTAAGAAAATGTCTACTTAAATATGTAATTTTCATAATAAATATTCTACTTCATATACACACATGTATATCAATATTCATTGGGTTCATCTATTTCAAAACCAATTAATAATTGAGAGGATTTTTCTTTTGGATTCACCAATCTTGGTCGAATCCCACGACTGGATGCTTGTTTGAACGTTTGGACTCTGATATCATATTAACCAATTGGTAATAAGAGAAGTAGTCCACTTATATTATAAATCTTTGTTAGGTCCTTTGACAATGAGAGATATAGTCCACTTATATTATAAAACCCTTGTCAGATTTCTCGTGGATCCTTAAAATGGTCCCCCAAGATGGTGCTTCAATTTGGGTTCATCAATCTTAGCCACATCCTATTTTTGAATTGGATGCTCGTTTAAGATTTTTAGCTATGATACTATATCAATATTCATGAGATTTCATTTCAACACCAATTGGCAACTAGAGGAGTGACTCATTTATATTTAACTCTTTTAGGTACCTTATAGTGTGTTTGATTGGTGATCAGAAAACACAAATTTGAAAAACAACGGATTCAATGAAAAACAAAGTTGTATTTTTGTTTTCAGTATTTTTATATATGTGTTTGGTACCAGATTTCAAAATTGAGTTTCTATTTAAAAAATTGTTCAACATGCGTTTAGTAATATATTTGATAGTTACAACCAACTAAATATTTAGTTCAATCTAAAATAATATTAATTAATTTATTAACATTTTTGTTTTAAATTTCATAATAATTATTATTTTACAATGATGTATAATCTATAATATACTATATTTTACATGTTTTAATTTTAACAAAAAAAATTAAATTTATTTATAACACGAAATAATATATTTATCAAAGTTTTTATCTTTATTCTTTTTAATATAATTCTGCATTTTAAAATTTCAAATTTAAATTCTGAAAACACTGAAAACATAAAATTGCTATTTTCAAAAATTTTCATTGCTTTGATCTCATAATCTGAAAACCATTTTTAAAAACAAATCCGTCAAATGTTACCAAACACATATTCACTAAAGCCTTTATGTTAAAAGATTTAAAATAACCATAAACGTTGGGTGGCATTAAATGACCTTCCGCTTCCGCATGATAAGAGAGGCCCAAGGTATCACTTTGATGAATTGTATTCAGTAACCTATTTTAGATTCTGACTTAAGTAGAGGTCGGTGTCGAGGTATGATACAAAACCGCTCTCCAATTGCCAACTCTTCAAGTCTCATGTCAATAACCTCTTATAATGCTAAGTGGCCGATGGATGGGACCCACCTACTCATGCCTATAAATAGAGAGACAAATTCTATATGCAAATACAAGATTCTAATATCTCATCTCTTAGTGTCCGAATATCTCCGTTCTCTGTGTCAATACATCTTTACATTTCTTCTACTTTGTTTATGTTCTCTGAGTGATCATAATTCAAAAGAAGTAATACAAATATTTATTGAAAGGATATATAAAGGTTATAAATATGTCTAATTTATATGAAACAATAAGTAAAAATTATATATCAAAGCGAGCATAGTTCCGCGGTAATTGGCATATACCTCCACCAACAGGTTGTGAGTTGTTGAACTAAAAAAAAGGTGCACGCATGATTTTCTTAAAGGCTTCAATGATTGATTGGATTACAAACCCTATCGTCTACAATTTAATTAATGTATAATAACACACATTACTATCTAAGATTCAAACTTCCAATTTTTCATCAATGATACGCATGTTTTAACGTGCGTGAAAATTTTGATGGGTTATAAAGTCATTATACTCGGATTATTTAAAATATATATCAAGAGTTAAACCCATTAATTAGCACTTAATAGCTCTAAAAAATTAGCACCTAATTATTTAAATTTACATTTATGTGTGCGTGGAGTGTTTTATTACACCATTATTTACGCGGCTGTGTAAACTATAAAATAAATTAACAAAAATAATAATTTAAATATTATCTAAAAAATAAAAAATCTTTCAAAAAAAATTCATTATCATTTAGACTTTTATGAGTTTTTTTAGTACAACATATGAGGTTGGAGATCGAACTGACAACCAAGATTTGAGATATATGTCAATTACCGTTGAGCTATGCTCAATGATATTTTTATTTTATTTTATGATATGATATAGTTAATTTTGATATTTTATTTTATTTTATAACTTTCATTTTATTTAAACAATTCGTTACATAATTTAATGTGGAGTACGAATTTTATCTATTTTGTCCTTTTAAATTATTTTTTATTAGTCTATTCAATTTTATAAAATAGGTGAGATACTCCATTAATTAGGGGTATTTAAACAAAAAGTTAAATTACCAATTTATTACCTGAATTTTGATTTTAATACCCTTAATTAATTACCTGAATTTTTGTTTTACTGTCTAATACATCTCTAAATTTAAAAAATATATTATTTAATACATCTTTAACATATTCGACATTCTTAAAATTAATGGATCTTTTAAATATAAAATTGAATATTTTATCTAAATCTCTAAAACTTTCAATTTTGTGCCTAATAAGTTCATGAATTTTAGGGTGGTGGCATAGTGGCTTGTAATCAAATGGAGTTACCTCCCTCTCCTGCTTGAGCACCTCGCAGGGCTCAAGCATATTCGAGTTCCCCACCCTCGGAGACGAGTTTCATAACATCAATTGCAGTAGTGGGTGGTCGTCGAACCTCTGTTGTAAGCCACACGATCGATTCCGGAATATAAAAAAAAATAGTTCATGAATTATAAAAAGTATTGATTAGGTTAGGGCTTTATTAAATACAACATTAAAAGTTGATAACCTATTAGACATAAAATTGAAAGTTTATGAATCTATTAGATATGAAATTAAAAATTTTAAAATTAACGAGACACTTTTTAAAATTCAAACTCCACCTGGAAACTTAAAAATTTTGTAATTGTACTCAATTTAAACATAAAGATACTTTTTAGTACAATAATATTTAATATTTACTTTGAAATTGAGGTATTAATAGTAGAGTTTAGAAATTGAGTGCAGAGAAAGGGATGGTATAATGATGACAAGTGGGGTGAATTTGACAAAGTTTTGAGTTATCAACCCTTACAAGTGAAGGTATTAACAAATTGATGTCCTCCCAACAATGGAGAAAATAATCATTCGTGTGTGTTTAACTTTAATCATCCGTTTGTCGATGCGACCGCAACGATGTAATCTTATCACTTATGACATCGCATTAACAAAATTTTGATTTCAAAGAACACAACACCTAAAATGACAAAGAGCACGATATTTATAAAGGGGTCGAGTTGAACGTAAATAGGATGCCACACAAAATGCAAAATATATTTAGCTGACAGAAGAAAAATGTTAGCTGATGTCTACCCTCTTTAGGGAGAGCTACGCTATCTCTTGAATAATTGTCAAAAGTTAGCTTCATTTGTAAACTTAAGTTAATCATTGGCTGCCAAAACAAATAGCTAATCTCGAGAAAATACAACAAATATAAGGATGAGAATTTCAACCTCCAATCTCAAGAATCAATAATTTTTAGACAATTTTTAAAGCTTCAACAATGGCCCCGATATATGCATTGTGAGAAGCAAGTTTTTTCACACCCTATCTTCAAAAATATGAAAAACTAAGTGGAATCTCAAACAAATATGATAGTAAATAATGAATATTCTTTATTGAAAAAAGAGAATGGAACTTATAAAGCTGGACAAGTTTTCCATGTATGGTTTGGGTCTGGGCGGTGGAGTGAGTTCCATGCTGAAAAATATGGTTTTAGAAAGAGAGGAAATGTTACAATGCGAAAATGTTTACACAGGCGAGGCACTCTGCCTATAATAAACCCAACTGGTTTGGCATTGTGCTCTCTGCCTCTTCATTGGCTAATAATTCACAAACGCATAACTATTATCAGTGTACACCAAGAGACAAATTGACAACTTCTCAATGTTTTAAGACACAAGAATGTTACAGGGATGGCTTCCTACCCGTCTTCGTTTCGAATAATTATCGGACGACTGCAAATACAAACAAAAATAACTCACATTAGGATCACCATCATACTATTGCTCAATTCAAAAGTTCAAAGTTAATGTGTGTGGAAGTTTAAATACTATTTTGATCCCTTTTAGTTTTAGCTCATTTTGATTTATGTATTTTCAAAACTTTTGTTTATTTTAATTTTTTACTTTCAAAACATCTATTTTGGTTTTGTACCTTTATAAAGTGACCAACTTGATCTCTATTGATAAAATTTTAACACATTTTATACACAATTAAAACCTTTTAATAAATTTCATGGCTACATTTTGAAATGTATTGAGTGAAGTACCATGCTAAAATTTGGTTGAAAGAAAAGAGATGAAAAAGAATATTAATTGACCAAGATGGTCACTTTTTTAAAATACAAAGATCAAAATAAACGTTTTAAAAGTACAGAGATCAAAATGGAAAAAAAAAAACTTAAAATACAAAGACCAAAATAAACGTTTTGAAAATATAGAGATCAAAATAGAACAAAGCTGAAAATTCAGGTATCAAAATGGTATTTAAACTTATATATATACTTAAAACTATCAATCACACGTGGACTTGAATAGTAATTTGATTCGTGAAGTCCGACATGTGAACTATTAATATCAATCGGAGAGAATGATATTGTAAGAGTTTAAATACTAGATTCCCTAGTGAACCATTAATATCAATCGCGTAAGAGTTTAAATACTGAATTCCCTACTCTATTTCTATGATATTGTAAGAGTTTAAATACCGAATTCCCTACTCTATTTCTATGTTAAATTATCACCAAATCTAAAAACTTAATCAAATATATCATGGTCAGTATACTCTCGCTTTTTGTATACATTCTTAACTATACTATCACCTTTTGTTTAGACCTCTATACAAACGAAAAGGTTCTGCCTTACCTGTGAACTAACAAGAGGTGGAACCCTAATACGTTTTGAGCCATCTGCCAAGCGTTTGCAAGATAGTAGATTCTCCTCGTGTGCAACAGACCTATCAAGCTGAAATGGACAAGAGATACACATTAGCATCAGAATTCTAATCCTTTTTAGAGTCATCTACCATGTATGTGGAATCTGAATGTCCCACCACTCTTTCAGATAATCAAACCTCAAATTCAATAGGACATTAGAATCAACCGATTCGTGTACCTGACTCCGAATAGCTCCAACTAATAACTCCTCACAATCTGACGCGTGCACATTTCGTAAACCAGGGCACTGAAGTAACAATCTCTCTGGGAGCAGACACATATGCAGAGCATTATTAGGCACGGAAGTTGTCATCCAATATATAGATATTAGATATTATGGTTTCAGGGAGTTCATCAATTAGGAGGAAGGGCAAAAATATTTCACCTGGATGCAAATTTTTGCAAGAGTTGAGGTTGAGATCATCTAGTTGAGGGCAGTTGAGATATAGGGCCTGAATGTAAAGAACAGACTAAGAATGCAGAAATAATGGTGTAAAGCTTTGATTGATAAAGGCGAAAGAGTCTCACATCTAAACCGGAACAACCCCATAAACTGAGCTTTTTCAGGTGGTTGTGTTTGATAATCAGCTTCTGGTAAATGAGATGAAACTTAGAGTTGGGCGGTTTTGATATTTCATGATCACCACTTTCAGACGTAGAATCCTGAGAATTAGGATCACAAATAGTCATCCCACAATCCATGAGTTCAAGAAGTGGCAATTCAGCCGTTGCAAATTGTATGCCACCTGAAGAGCACGATGCAACTTTATCAGTAATCGGAAACCAAGAGCCAGCGAACTCAAAAGTTTTTACAAAGATGAAAGTACATAAAAAAAACATAAACAGAGATAAGTGATTACTTGAAGAGATATTAGGACAGAGGGCAAGGAGAAGTCTAGACAATGAATCTGGGAATACATTACAGATCATTCCAATGCCACTGTCACTGATGCTAGACCTGAAAACAAAATTAATGGTCGAATCAGGCAATTTTTTTTTTCTTTTGACTAATTACAAATTCAGAACAATTTCATACCAATAAGCTTCCTTTAGAGATTCAACATTCAAGTAAGCATTTAAAGCAAGAAATGATAAAATTTTCAGTAATTGACTGCAAGATCAGTTCTATAATTCTCTCAAAATGTGACCCTTAACATTGACTGCCTGCACCAGTATAGCCATTGCTAGATTAAGCTCAAGAATACAATGATGTGTGGCCTATCCATTAGTCAGAAACTATACAATTAGTTTATAAGTCACTAAATGCATACCCACTAAGATCAAGCAACTCCAAGTTTGGATAGCTTGAAGCAATAGCAGCAACAGATGCATCAGTGATGTCAGCTCCAAGAACAAGTGAAAGCATCCGCAAGCCACTGATCAATGAAGAGAGGGAAGAAACTTAGTCTATAGTAAATTTTTTTTAATTATTGATGAACACAAAGGATCTGCCCTGAATAATCAAGAAAGGATGAAAGTTTACTTGGCACAAACTCATTGTGAAGCCAAATTAGTAGCACAAACCTCAATTGTGCAGCTGTGAGTGCCAGTACAACAGCATGAGAGAGGCAGAAAGATGAGATGTGTATGTTTTGTAATCTAGGGCAGCCTCTTCCCATGCTGTCAACCATGGCAACAAGATCGGTGCTATCATTTTCTTGACGAGAAAACTCCAATGAAATCTCCTTCAAATTGGGGCAATTGAAAGCCTGTCAAAATAATACGTGAATGAGCATACTTCCTGTTATAACAGAAGTAGGTTGTAAGAGATAAGGAAAAGAGAGACAACCATCCTAGAAAGGGAGCAAAGATTAGAAAGCCATAGCGTGCCAAGACTTGATGAACAGAGGTAAAAACTCCCTAAACTAGAACAACCTTCCATCTTGAGGCTCTTAAGACAACGTTTATCAGCAACAAAACGACCAAGTTCATCACTGTATATTGGAAATAAAAAGAAATGGCCAAATATCAGTTATTGGATCAAATGTTTTTTACAAATGTTGGCCATCATCATTCATATCATCACACCACTGGTCCACTTTCACACAATCATATACCATCAAGGAAAAGCAAAAAACGAACAATGAAAATAAATTCAGTAGCAGTACTAGATGCAGTAAGACACAAAGATATAAATTACCCTGTGATACGATTTACTGATGATTGGGACTTAGTGATCTCCAGAGCTTCAAGATTAGGACATGAGAAGGCAATGCAGGCCAACATCATCGAATCCAAGTCACTGCAACAACAAAAAAACTTATATGTTAAAACAATCTGACCATCAAATTTCACTCCCTATTAGTATTCATTAAGATTGATCCCTAGAATTTTTAAGTGTACTTTAAAAAAAATAACTCTAAAAGTAAAACAAATACTTACGAGCAAGAAAGTCCGTAGTTGCAAGCTAAATTTGGGGGGAAATTAGTGAGCAAAAACAATAAAGTCAACATCCACCGTATGGTAGTGGATAAATTGTATTAGAATCTAAATCATCAACTAGAAATGCTATGACTTTCAAATATCATGGATCGAAGAATCAGGGATTCATTTCCCATATAGTTCTTCACATATCATTCCATCTGCCTATTTTTTGTCACATTTTGTTCAACAATTTCCGGATCCAGTTGATTTCTCTTAGTTCATTTAAACTTATCATCATATCAACACTTCATAAGTAGATCGTCAAATAAACTCATAGATCTAAGCCGTCCCATCGAAAACCCTAACCTTTCCAATCTAAGCGAGAGGGTCACAAGTCCAGGACACTTCTGCAGCAACGAACCAACAAATCCAACCTGAGCCCTAGAAGGAACCCTGAGAGTCAACACTTCCGCCGCCCTCCAAAGCTTCCTGGTAGTCTCTCTCCACCCCTTGCAAACCCTAGCCGCCGACAAAATCCCAGCCGGCGGCAGCCTCCGCAGCACCTCCCACAGACAACTCGCAGGCAAACATCCAGAGGAGTCAGGATCAATGTCGGGATAATCCAACACCAATCCAGACTCCTCAACGTCCTCAGCCTCGGAGTGGAAGCCGCTGCGAAGATCGTCGGCCTCATCGAAGGAGAGCGCGCGGCGGAGCTGGGAGTAGGGCTGACGTGGAGGAGGCAGAGATCGGGCGGCGGAGAGAGAAGAGGGCGGCTCAATGGTGGATCCGCGAGCGGAATTAGAGGAATCGGTGGGAGTAGAAGTGGCGGCCGCGGGAGTGAGATTGCAGACATGGCCCTTCTTTGGAAGACCGCACCGGCCACAGTTGTAACTCCCACGCTTCTTGCCCCGCTTGAGCTCGGAATTCGAGAACGACGAGGCGGTGGTGGCGCCACCGGGGGACGCGGCGGAGGGGTGGGGATGGTGGAAGCGTTCCATAGCGGCGGCGGAGAGAAGGGATTCGCAAGCGAGAGAGAGGGCTGAAGAGATAAAAGAGGGGAAAGAAAGAAAAAAAAAAGGAGGGTTTAGAAAGGCGCGGGAGAACGGGTAGGTTTCGCGCGCTGAGTTTAAAAGAAAATTTGGCGAAAATTTTATTTATATATTGAGCGTTACGTGCTTTTCCTGAAATTACTAAACTACCCTTTTCCGTTGATTTCGATGAGTTGGCGAGAGAGAGAGAAAAAAATAAATATCGTTATTTTTTTTTTTCCTATTCCCCAGAAATGTATCCGTTACTATTACTCCATCTAAGATTTGTAGTTTATGTAAACTATATATTTAATTTACAACAAATATTTACTAAAACATCTTAGTTTCCAAACATGATTATGATAATATGCTGTGGATTGATGCAAACAAAATAATAATAATAAATAAATAAAGTGTGTGGTATTAAGTTTCCATCAATATGTTGAGAGAGGTATAAAGCTATTTATGTAGATAGATATAAAAAAAAATTTACAAAAGATAAAAAAGGTATATCATTATTATATATATAATATTAATATAAATAAATTTTAAATTGTTTTTAAATAGTAAAAATTTTATTTGTTATGTTGAATGTTTATTATAATTTTTTCAAAAATATCCCTAGACTTTTCCAAAAAATTGAGACTAGAACATTTTTTTGTCCACGTGGACGTTTAAAATTTTGTTGACAACGAGAGAAAAAAAGGAGGAGTATAAGAAAAATAGGGATGGAGAGAATTAAATAATGTGTTGACCAATTGAATTATGTTTATATAGTAGCGAGAGAGATTTTCTTTAAATTTAATTTTCAATGAAATTTTATTGAAATCATTTTAAATGTTTAAAATAAGGGATATTACACTAAGTAATATTGTATTTATTATTAGCTAAAAAAAGTAAGTAGTTGGGGCATTAAAAAAGTGAGTAGCTAGGTATAAAAATTAAAAACCATAATCTTGTAGTAGTTGGAAGAATTAGGAAAATTATTTGAGCTCATTTATGTTTACTGAAGCATGTGAAGCATTTTATTTCATATAGACTATATACTATATTACCTCTCATGATTTTCTCCTAGGAAACTAAATATGATAAAGTATTTGTGTTGGATTTATTCTTCTCTTGATCTCTTATAGAATAATTTTTATGAACAAAGCAACAATTTGTGACTAAAGGTAGAAAAATTATTTTAGAAACTTTAATGTAAAACTAAATGAAAGTGATGTATAGGAGTTTTTGTTTTCATACATTCAAATTTGGTAGGATTGGTTTGGAACCGAAACTATACGAGATCACCAAATGATGAGTTTCACTGTTGTGACCACAAGACTCGTCTAAGATAGATTGTTATTTAATTGTTTTTAAATTTGAGTACGCCAGCAACATTCTCTTGTGCTGATGTGACATGATAATTTGATCGAACTTTAATTGAAAACGAAACTTTGTCTAGTCTTATAACATTCATATGTCGTACACTTGAGATTGAAGAAGGTAGAGATTAGTGATCATCGATGAACTAACACGACATTAGAATGAGAGAAATTCTCAACTATATGCAAATATTATACTTAGTTCACAACTTTCACATTATGCTTTTTAGCCCCTACACATTAAACTTTTCTATTGATTTTCTTTTGGTTTCTAACATTTCAAATATTATATGCTTTAATCTCTCACCTTTCAAATATTTTATGCCTTTTTTTTAGTTTTTTATTAGAAAATCATCTTAATCCTATTGTTAATTATTAATCATATCCAGAGATGACCTAAGTCACTACAACTAACTTCAAAAACTTGTTTATTTATGTGTCTATATATGGATATGAATTAGCTAAATGAACAAATATGTACAGTATGACAAAATGATGTGTTGAATTTATTTTTTATGGATAACTATGAAATGATTTAACTTCCAAAATATTATGGATCGACTTTTTTTTCCTATTTTAATTGAATAAATTCATATTTTAATTTGTGTTCTTATGTGAACCGTGTCTTTAATCTACGGGTCAATCTTAGTATAGAAATCTTACTCTTGACAAAAAAGGTGGGTTTAGGAGTGGATCTTACGAATAAAACAAAACAAGCCACTAATACACTATACTTAAAGGTATTTGCAAATTATTGGAATTGAATCAGATATCGATTTTATAACTCATTTAGGAGCTAAGTTGATTCCGTCGCGGTTAGATAGATTTATTAATAGTAATTTCAACACGTGAAAAGTTAGAAGAGTGTTTTTCTCATCAATCCTTTCATCTGTCATTCGATCTTCAATATTAACAATATTCCAATGAGCTTTAAGCTCGATTTTTTACCACTCTTCTATTATATCATTGTAACAAAGTTTGAAGCATGTTGTTGTGATCGATAACAAATTACATATTGGTTTCCTCTTTCACAATAATAACAAAAAAAGAAAATAAAATGTTTAGGAATAAAGTAACATGGTTTGGTTGGTTTGGTTGCTTGAAAATTCAGCAAAGGGCTCCCATCAAAATAGAGAATAATTTGGGTCAAAGACATGCCAGCGATTATGTCGCGGCTGGCTCAACGGCCATATTGAGGGGCAGTTTCGGTAATTCGTAGCCAAAACACGAAGGGCGTGTCAGCTCGCACGTGCCACTTTCTCTTCACTACATTTTTTTTTTTGTCAGAGGACCAAACACTTGTGAGGGCTCCCCCATCCCATCTTTACTCTTGTCTTTACATGCATGAAAATACACGATAAAATAATATTGACTTTGTTAATGGGGAGAAAAATGTTGGTATTGAATTTCTGTCGACATATCGATATTTTCATGTGACTATGGGTGCGACATCCATATATGAAGAGTATGTTGGAGGTAGATTTCAACATACACGTGACCAGAAATAATTGGACCTAGAATGTGACACATGGTTCACACACCTAATAGAAGATTATCTCAAGTACGCACATCTCGACTCAGCCACTTGCCTGAGCAAAACTCTTTCGGTGGCAGAGCCGAACAAGCATGTTTATAATCTCGTTCTCATATCATTGGTTGAACCAATTAGCTTACCTCAGTCTGCTCCCGTCTCCGACACACTCCACGATATCACGCCGCGTTTCACAGTAACCTTAAAGAGTCGTTGAGGCTTTGTCGGAAACGTTGTCGAGGTCTTTGCCTATAAATAGAACCATTCCGTCCCATTTTGAGGTACGCGAACAACCAAATTCTCTCTCGAGTTGATTTGGACATTTACTGACTTTAGCATTGAAGTGTTTACTCTGTTTTGCAGGTCTTCTACGCGGTACCAGGATCTCATAGTTCATCTCTGCCGATCCGACGTTCTCAAAATTGATCATTTTTGACATTTCCATATAATTGAAAAAAAAAGGGATAAAATATGAAAGTATCAACAAAATATTATTAGACATAAAATTTTGTAGAAATATTCATTTTTTTATTTTCATAACCTTTCTAGAAATATTCATCGACATCAATCTGTATTTCCATCGACATTTGAAACCTTGGAAACAAGTCATGTAGATAAATTGATTTTTTTTAATCATCGACATCTTATAGATTGAATCATGCTCAAATTGACTATATATACTTAGTTCCAATGTTGGACTCCATATATGAGGACAATTTTTGTTTGTACACCTAAGATTGACTTTTATTGAGTTTTACGAGATTTTGGACCCAATTCAATCCTCTCGATTGTAGATTCCTATCATCCAAATAACCCTAGTTAAGTTAGTAACACAATCCAAACTAACTCAAAAATTGGGTTGAGTTGATTTGCTTTGGTTCACTTTGATTTCAATCAAAATTCATGCCTCATGGATGTTAGGCAGACCTTAGCTTTCAAAATGCATTTGGGTTTGGCTGGGTTAGAAATAGAAATGAGTTTTAAGTGGGAATAAATCTTGGGTTAAGAGTAGATTTATAAAATTTATGATCATATATTATTGTAGGTTGGGTTGGCTCAAATTAGTAGACTCCAAGAACCAAACCATCTTAATCAGGTTTATAAAGAATGAACCGACTCTAACCCACATTCTATCAATTGAGTTGGGTTGCTCTACTCTGGTAGTGTGGGTTGTCGGTTTCTTTAGACATCCCTACGAGTAGAGTTGAGATCTCCAAGACTTTGGATTTTTCCTACCAGAATAACTTCAATGCAGTATGATATCATCTTGCTTTATCTCAAATAGGATGAATCATTGTCTCACAAACAAAAATAATAATAAAAATAATAATAATAATAAATAAACGACGGGTGTGGGTCGAATAATCAATAGGTTACATGGTGGGAAGGTTGAAACGGCAACGGGCCAAAACCTTACAGAGAGACTCAATTAGTGATAGGTCACCACTGAGCTTGAAAAAAAATTGAGTTTAAAGTGATCTGAACAAAGTACCAAACCCACGAGAAACTCGGGATGGCGACAAAACCGATGAAGGCCTCACCTTGGTTTGTTCCATTAATCCTCATTAGTTTGATAACCCGACACGTTTTGCATAACGAACTCACATACGGTTTGACAGACCTACGCGTTTCAAGTGACCGGACACTTGTACGACCATGTATGTATAATAACGAATTGTCCCTCCATAGAGGGAGATCACTACGAAGAGCACAGGAACGAGCAGACAAAGTACATGATTCTCACCCTACTAACTTCAAGCTTTCTCTAATCTACACATTAACTTATCCATTGGAGTCATGTGGCCTCAAAGCCACACCGATGACCAAAGAGGTTCTGATGACCTCCCCTATTGGAATCGTGCATTAACAACTACTACGACCTAATATCATTCATGTGAATTTATGTAGCTCCTCAACTTTTATCGTCTCAACTAGTTCGAGACATTGGTGCTCATAACCAAAATTGTGTGGATATAGATAGCTCTAGAAGTCATAAATCACTCACGATGATCAACAAGTCTTGGCTAGAACATCATATCTCGCTTAGAAACTTAATGACATCATATCTCGCAACCAAAGATTTTTAAGATTGATGTCAACAGAAATGTCAATGTCAATAGAAATAGAAATAACGATGAATATTTTTGAAAAAATTAATAAAGAAATATCCGAGTTAACAAATAAACATCTCACTCTTTTAAAGAAATTAAAATTCAATAAACATCTCACTCTTTTAAAGAAATTAAAATTCTTTTTATTAATATTATTTCTAACTTAGTGACATTTTGTTAAAATTTTGTTGATTCATTTCTTAGGTCGATGTATAGGACATGAAAATGTTGATCAAAATTTACCCTGATCGCGATGCAAACATGGGTTTCGGTCTCTTAATGGGCACATACATCCCTTTTATTGAAAGCCAATTAGGGTTGGTTTTAGAAAGAAAAGGAAAGACAATGATATATAGCTACAAGTAAAATTGGTAGGTTGAATCAATTAAAATTTTAAATTGTGTTGGAACCTGAATTACTAGTTTTTACTAGATAGCAGAGAAATTTTCAAACTAATAAAATGGTTCAACTTCTAGATGAACTGTAACAATTTAACAATAATGCCCCCAACAAAAGTAATAGAGATTGAAAAAGTAGCAGCAACAAAAATAGCAAGCAGCTAATTCTACTTGAACAATCTCTAAACTAGAAAACTGATACCTAGCTAGCTAATAACAGAGATCTGTTACACTTGGTTAAATATTGGTATGAACTACCACAATACAGAAAAAAGGAATTTGTTAATTTAATCCACAAAAACAAAAACAAAAACAAAAAATAAAAACAGAGGCGGAGATCAAAGAATGATCTAATCTGACCTGTGAAGCTCCTACTCCTCTTGTTTAATGTCGAGGCCCTTGAGTTTTGATTCGAGTTCGTCGTCGTGATCAGCATTCTCTTCACCATCGTCATCATAGTCTTCCCCATCTGGATCATTCTCATCCAAAGGCCCGAGCATATTAGGAGAATTCTTAAATATCTCCTTCAATTCATCAATCCCTTCTTCAGAGATATAATTGGCATTGATGTTTAGCAACTTAAATCCGGGCTTCTGCACTAATATTTGTGCTAAGAATCTCGCCCCTGCCCTTCGAATTGAGTTTGTGCCAACATCGACTTCGCTCAAATGACCATGTCCGTTCTGCAGTGCCTTGCCAATTAAAATCACACCATCATCCTTCAGTTCATTCTCAGCCAAAAATAACTTACTGAGGAATTGTTTTGTTGCTACACAGGCTGCAATTGAGGCAGCACCTTTTGCAGTTATATCGTTTCCAGCCATTTCAAGAACTTCGAGCGAAGCAGCAGAATCTTCAAGGGCATTAGCCAAAGCTTCTGCCCCCTCATCCTCCAAGTTCAAATAACTAAGATAAATTTCAGTGAGACTTGGAAAGGCAGATATAGATTTACTCAAAGCAATTCCAGCTTCCACCCCAAACATGTTGTCACGCAAATCAAGCTTCTTGAGACGGGTACACATCCCCACAGCTTCAGCTAGAGCCACACCTCCGTCCGAACCTACCCTTGTCGAGGAACAGCGGAAATCCTCCAACGCAGGAGAACCCTTGACAATTTCAGAAATTGCAACGGCACCTTCATCTCCTGTCATGTTATTATGAAACTGAAGGATACGAAGCTTTTCTGTCGACGGAATCAACTCACAAACTGCTCTAGCAGCTTCCTCCGAAATGCCATCATTCATCAAATAAAGCTCCTCTAAGTTTCTCAGTGATCTCAAAAGTGACCCAAATGCCCGGACACCCTTCTCACCCATGGCATTGTTCGAAAGGTTCAGGTACCTCAAGTCACAACCTTCTAATGCTGAAGAAAAAATATTCATGACTTCAAGAGCCTCCCCCTCTGACCTTCCAGCAATAAAGTCTGATAGGTCTACTTCTGTCAACTGATCTTTGATGGACAACAAGATCGGTTCAGCAACACGAGCTGCGTCTAAGCCAAAACTTCTATTGCTAAAGCAGATCTTAGTAAACAGGTTTTCCAGATCTTTGAGGGGTTCTAGAAGCTCCTTAGCCTCCTCTGCATCAATAAATGATCTTCGTCCTCCTGATATGTCAAAAACTGTTCCTGGAGTAATAGCCTTCTCAGATATTATTGCCTCTCCATCCTCCTTTACTCTTGGACCTCTTTTCAATATATCCAGCATAAGCCTACTAGATTCTTTGGCATAAATTTGAACTGCAGAGCTTCCATCACCATCTGGCTCCTTCTCAAAGTGTTGGTTAGCAGTTGCAAAAGCCATATCTTCTACTTTCTTGGCATCGTCTTCAGCATCTTCTTTACTTAACAAACCATACTTCCGGGAAAAAATGGAAGGTGTCGTAAGATTCTTGATGATTCGTTCTATGAGCATGAACCTAGTGCTCTGGCTAGGAGGCCATAATTTAATTGACATTACACGAGGTTGGAATGTCTGGGTTGCAGAATCCATTGCAGAGTATTCGAAGTTCGGACTTCTGAGGGAGAAAGAAAATTGGTCAGGTTTTATTGCCTGAGCATAGACGTCTGGTGAATTTTCAGGCAGATACCAAACCTCCATCTCAAATAATGTCCTTAAATTTAGAAGCAAAACTATGTAGCAAGATCCAGTCAGTCATCAGCTTATCTCATACTATAACGGCCAAATATATTAGAATGGTGAAATATCATTCACATCAAGTAATCTGCTAAATGAACTCTAAAAAATTAATTTTGGGGAAAATAACAAATGAGAGATGCATAAGCCATCATGCAATAGATATCATTTCACATGCAAATTATAAGAAAGATGCCATGATGAAGCTTAATTTGACTACAATACAATCAAGGTAGATAGAAAGGATATAGATACTACACAAATGGCATTATAAAAACCGCAGTTGGTAATCATTGTTAACAGCTGATACCTGATATCAATGTCAAACTTTTAGGAGCTATAGACTTACGATTTATAATTGCTATTACTTATGGAACTGGTAAAATGGTAAGGCATCACTAGCCTTCATCTTTCTTTAGTCATCTCAGAGTATCCTAAATCAGATGTTTATTTACATGATGACAGGATTCTGCATGTAATCGGCTGCCAGCTCAACAAACAAATATTAACTAAAAATAAATTCAGCAATAATCAAAGATCATATGCTAAAAAATCACAAAAACTTGGTTAGGATGTCCAAGAGGATGAAAATAAACGTCTAGCGGGAAAAAATTCCTGGAGTAGGAGCCCAATGCATATCAGCAGTACCATTAAATGCATATTCTTAAAAGTTAGAACTAAACCAAGTGATACAAATACAATAGAGGATACTACTAAACTGCATACTTTTCTTGTGTAAATTTATTTCAAAGCAATCAGACAAAAGGCCACAACTACAAGCAGCAAAACAACCAACCCTCAAAAGGAAGCCCATTAAATCACTGCCAATAAATTCGAAAGCGCAAATCACATAAATTAAATAAAGATACAAGGGATGGGTGGACCGTGGAAGTTCAAAGCCATTCAAGAACTAGCACCAAGAATCCCTTTAACTATTATAAGTCGGGTTCGCACTAATATGACCATTCCCAACTACCGTTAAGTTTCCTCAACTTTCTAAGCAATGAAACGAACCGCAGAAAAAATAGAAGAAACAAGAAAAGGGGGAAATTAAGAGGATTCACAATCCTACAA